TTTTAGCAAGACTCTAAAAGAACATTGTGAGCACCTTCGACTTGTGCTTAATAAATTAAGTAAGGCAAAGTTGAAATTAAGCCCTAAAAAGTGTGAATGGGCGAAGCGTGAAGTGTTGTATCTGGGGCATGCGCTAGATGGAGAAGGAATCAAACCAGAGGACGCAAAGATTGCAGCTATTCGAGATTGGCCTAACCCCCGTAGACTCTTGAAGAAAGACACAATCTGGAAGTGGGACCAGGGTTGTACGTCCTCATTTAAGCGTCTTAAGAAATGTTTAATCAACTATCTAGTCTTGAAAGTTGTTGATCCTTCCTTGCCCTTTGTGATCACAACCGACGCCAGTCAGTACGGGATAGGTGATGTGCTCCAACAAGATGATGGGAATGGGTACAAGCTTATTGAGTTTATGTCCGGACGACTGCCTAGTGAGAAGGTGCCGCTTCCATGTATGAGAGAGAGTTGCTTACTCTCCGGGAAGACTTGGATCATTGGCGACACTATCTCCTAGGACGCCACTTCAAAGTGGATCATGAAACACTTCGCTGGCTAAAAACGCAAGCCCGAATGACGCCTAAGTTAACAAGGTGGGCTGCGGAAATCGACCAATATGATTTTGAAATTAAGCCAGTAAAGGGGAAGTACAACTTTGTTGCCGACGCTTTGAGTCGAAGATCTGACTTTTTCGGTGCTATTGTAACATATTTAGATGTAGGCACCGACATTCAAGATAAGATTAGAAATGCGTATTCTACCGATCTTGTCTATGATGCTATGCTTAAGTGTATTCAAGAAGCGCCACAAGAGTTTCCTAACTATCGGGTAACGCAAGGACTGTTGTTTGAAAGAACAGACGTGCATGATAGGCTTTGTATTCCAGACGTGGAAGAGATTAAAAGTGTGATCTTGGGGGAGTGCCATGATACAGAAGGCCATTTCGGGTGGAGGAAGACCTATGCTAATCTTCTACGTTCCTACACTTGGCCTCGAATGAAACCTGATTGCATCGCATATGTGCAAGGTTGTCAAGTGTGTCAACGAAACAAGAGCACCACACAACCTCCCCTCGGTCTCCTTAAGCCCTTGCCCATTCCAACAGGTCCAGGAGACTGTGTCCATCGATTTATGGACACAAAGGTGAAAAGCAGGAATGGGAAGACCCAAGTTATGGTGATTGTTGACAAATTTAGTAAATTTGTTGTCTTTGTGGCATTACCTTCGGAAGCTAGAACTGACTTGGTAATTCGGGAATTCTCTAATCACTGGTGAAAGATTATGAACATCCCTTGACTATAGTTAGTGACAAAGACTCGCGGTTCACAAGTGAACAATGGCAACAACTGATGAATGTTTATTACTCTAAATTGACGATGTTGTCAGGGCGGCATCCTGAGACAATGGGCAAACTGAGCAAATGAACAAGATTCTGGAGCAGACACTGCGTATGTACATTCGTCCTGACCAGATTGATTGGGATGAGCATTTGCCCAAAGTTGCTAGTGCCTATAACAACTTTGTACACTTATCTACCTGCAGAACTCCGACAGAGTTGCATCTGGGATGGCGTCCCCGCATACCTATAGATTGTTTGAACCCGGATCAAGTACACAAACTTCCGTTGGGAACGCAAGAATTTGCAATGCAATACCAAAAAGATCTAGAAAAGGTAAAAAAGAATATAGTCAATGTGCAACATCAGATGATTGAACAAGCAAGTAAACACAGAAGACCTTCTCAGTTTACTATTGGCGATCTGGTATGGGTTAAGTGTGGCGGACCCACCGGGTGTGGTGCTCCGCCAGAGATAGAGATGGGGATGGAGGAAGAAGGGGGAGCAAGATGGCACAACGCAGCTCCCACACCAGACTCCAACGCACGTACTCCAAAATGTGCGAATGCAGAATGAGCTCGAAAATAGACAACGACTGGGGTATACCCCAGCGGACTGACGGGACTGGATTATACTGGCTGGTACCGACAGAGGTACCGGCCTGGACTGGACTGCCCTGAATAGGACACAAGACTGTGAGAACAGGCCAAGAGGATGGTCTCACAGGCCAACCAGAGGTCCGCTACACGATCCTCGGCCTGTGATGGATCGCCTAGATACAAGCACGCTTCCGCCAAGAAGCGGAACTCTACCAAAGAAAAAGAAAACCTGAGTAGTCTAGGATGCGGAGCAAGCTCCATGTTGAGTTCATGCGATGCAACCTAGAATAGAAAATGTCACAAAACAACAATGTCACAACTAACAGCCTAAGTAAAAGCAAAAGCAACTAACTAGCATACATGTCCTAGGAAAGCAGAAAGTAATGACAACTAGGTCCTAGAATGTTGGAGGCAGTAGCCTCAGTCTGGAAACAACTGACTAGTGTATAAGTCCTAAGAACAGCAAAAGCAGAATAACTAAATCCTAAGAATGTCAGAGGCAGTAGCCTAAGACTGAGAGCAACAAAGCAACAACAAGTCAAGCATATGTCACAGGAGAAGTGTGTCGCAAACCAAAGGGTGGCGAATGCAGCCTAGGGTCAATAACTCCTAAGGGCATCCACACATAAATAACAAGGAGACACATGTCATCAGGCTCAATGAGGGTAGGGAACAGGCAGCGAACAAAACCAATGACCCTAACAGATAGACCATAAGGGTGGGTAATGCTCGACTAAAGGGGTGAACGCTATGTGGGGTTGAGCATGCAAGGGAACAAGGGAGCCTGGTATACTGGGCGCACCTAGATGAAGCATGCAAGGCTGCCTAACTAGGGCGTGAGGGCCGGCAAAGGGTAGAAAGGTGATGGCTAAGGGAATCATGCAAATGACTCCTAAGTGAGGGAAGTCGGAGCTAGATCCGTAAGATGGGAAGTCAGGGCAACGCTACGGTCCCGATGCCTATGCGTATACCAAGGGAGAGCCCAACTCATAGGAACCCGGCTAAAGGGAGACCATCATGCGACACAACCAGGGTACTGTACAGGTTAATGTATTAAGAGGGTGATGACGTCTCAAGTAAGCAGAGCTGATCGTGACGAAGTCCATGAAGCTGCCGATGACGTCCATGATTAGAAGTCCGGAATGCCGTCGAGGAAGAGCCGCAATGTCTACGAGTTGAAGTAGCAAAACTGGTGTGGATGGAGTATTGAGAAGTCAAAAACGTGGGAAGGTAAGTCAGAGTCAATCGTCGTATCGAGCAGGACGACGACGAGTGCGTTGTGGACGCTCAGAAGCATCCGGCTGCTGCTGAAGGTCTGCCTCAGAAGGGGCAGGCTCGACTTCAGCGGTCCTCTCAGCCTAGGGAGAAGGAGGAGGGTCAGTGGGCCGAGGGGGAGCAGTCGACCCAGCACGACGAGCACGGTCATAGGCACGCACCAACATGCGAGCGTGCTGCAAGTGCTTGAGGGGCTCCCAGGTAGCCTCCTCATCAGGGTAACCCTTCCAACGTACGAGATACTCGACGTGGGGAGGGTTGTCGTCAGTGACTCGACGACCAATGATGTCTGAAACGAGGAACTCCTCGTGGTCGTCCACCATGATGGGTGGAGGCCGCTCGTATGGTCGTCCAACGAAACGCTCAGACGGTCTGCTGTAAGGACGCAGTAACGAGACGTGGCAGACATTGTGCACACGAGCTTGGAGTAGGTAGTCGGGCAGCTTCACACGGAAGCTGACCGGGCTAGAAGCCGTATCAGAACCGACGGCCTGGAGGATGCGGCATGGGCCAAAGAAGCGACGCCGAAACTTGCGAAGCTTGTCCGCTTCGAGCTATAAGTGGCGGGTGTCGATAAGCACATCATCACCGACTTTGAATGGATGATCCATCCTCGATCGGTTCGCACGTGCTACCATGCGAGTCTGGGAAGCGGCTATGTGCTCATGTGCGGTCTTCATGATCAACGTCATGTGTGCAACCCAATCATCCAGCGCGGGACAACTCGTGTCGGGGTGCAACTGTATGGTCGAAGGAAGTCCGCAGGAAGGCTATCTCCGCGTTAGCAAGATGGAGATCCCACTGCTGGTCGTCACAAACAATCTTTCGGAGAATATCTCCGAGAGTCCTGCTCGTGACCTCGGTCTGACGATCAGTCCGGGGATGGTAAGACGAGGAGAAGCGGAGCTGGGTGCCGTAAACCTCGTGGAGTCGTCGCTAGAATCAGCTGGTAAAGCGCGGGTCACGGTCAGATATGATGCTGAGAGGTAAGTCGTGGTCGCACACGACTGCGTCAAACACGATGTCGGCGACCTCACGTGCACTGATGGCATAGCGGCACAGAACAAAGCGTGCACGCTTCGTGAAGCGGTCGACGACGATCAGGATAGCATCATGACCGCGGGGGGTCGGAGGACGAAGAGGACCGATAAAGTCCATCGAGATGGACTGCCAACGACCCTCAGGGATAGGAAGAGGCTGGAGCAAACCATAAGGCAAGTGGTTTGCATTGTTCACCTCCTGACAGGTGGGACACTCTGCGACGTAGTCCTTCACAAAGTCCTTGCGCTTCGGCCAGACGTACAGGCGGCTCACATGAGCCAACATATGACTGGCGGCTGCCTGGTCATGTAGCTGTCCAGTGGAGGGAACGCAAATACGGGGCTCTCTGGTGCCATGTGAACCGTGCCAGTACACAAGACCGTTGTCCCCGAGAGAGTAGTTCGAGACGGTCTTGCCACTCCGAAGGGTCGCGTGGATGTCGCGATAGTCGGGGTAGTGGCGGTACTGAGTGCGAAACTCGTCCATCACGGAGTGGTGGACGGTGGTGACCGAGATGGAAGAGAGTTGGATCTGCTCTTGGTCGTGGTCAGGGTGCCGGGATAAGGCATCTGCGACCCGATTAGTCTCACCCTTGATGTGCTCAGTGGTGAAACTAAACTCGGATTGTTCGCCCCACCAGCGAGCCTGTCGAGGAGTGAGCTTCGTTTTTTTCAGAAAAGCCTGGACAACACTGTGAATGGTGCCCCGTGCAAGTAGTGACGCTAGTGCCGAGCGACATAAACTACTGCGAGAACCTCACGTTCATCAGCGGTGTAGTTTATCTCGGCGGGCAAGAGCTGACGGGAGTAGAAGGCTATCGGACAATCACCTGAGCGAGACTCAACAATGCCGTTCTCGACGATGGTAGGAGAATAGTCAATAGAAGGCTCGTCAGTAGCTGAGCGAGTAGGCGTCAGGTGGGAGGCAGTGGTAGGGGTCGGGGGTGGGAAGCGAGGGATACGAGGATGAGAGGAATCAGGGGAGGAGGGGAAAATATGAGAAAGCACTGCTCCTACGGCAAAGTCTGACGCATCGGTGGTAAGGATAAAAGGGCGATCAAAATCGGGTAGGTGAAGCACCGGTGCGCATGTCACCGCCTTCTTGAGGGCGTGGAAGGCGTCCTCGTGGAGGGGTGTCCAAGCCCAGGGCGGGTTCTTCCGGAGGAGGGTGGAGGTAAGGACGTAGGAATACCTAGCGTATCCCTGGATGAAATTACTATAGTAGCTGGTAAGGCCTAGGAAGCTGCGAAGCTGCTTGGCGGATGTGGGGACGGGCCACTCCGCAATAGCAGTGATCTTCGCGTCGTCCATATGGAGACCCTGGTCAGACGCGTAGTGTCCTAAGAAATCCACTTTGTGCTGTGCAAAGTGGCACTTGCTCAGCTTGGCGTAGAAGCCATGTCTGCGCAAGGGGTCAAGGACGTCGCAGAGGTGTCCGAGGTAGACGAGAACGTACTGCTCCAGGATGTCCCTGAAGATGTCGTTCATCGCCCTCTGGAAGGTAGCGGGTGCGTTGGTGAGGCCGAATGGCATCACCGTAAACTCGTAGTGGCCGAAGCGCGATCGGAACGCTGCCTTCGGCTGATCCGCTGTAGCGACGCGGATCTGATGGTAACCGCTCCGAAGATCAATCTTCGTAAAGAAGCGGTTGCCTACTAGGCGGTCGAACAGCTCGTCGGAATGAGGCATGGGGTAGCTGTTCTTAACCGTGTAGCAGTTGAGACCGCGATAGTCGATGCAGAGACGGAGAGTTCCATCCGCTTTGCGAGCAAAGAGGACGGGTGCAACCCACGGGGAGTTGCTGGGTTTAATGAAACCCAGTCTGAGGAGCTCCTCAAGTTGACGTTTGAGTTCGGTGGCCTTGGGGATCGAGAGTCTGTAGGTTGCCTGGTGGTGAACACGATAGTCAGGCACAAGCTGGATGGAGTACTCGACGTCGCGCATCGGTGGGATGTCGGCGTACGAGAACGACGAAGGGAAAACGTCATGGTACTCTCGAATGAGGTCACAAACTACGGGCTCCAGGTCAGCCGTATATCGTGCGAGTTCCTCAGCGTCAGCGTCAGCGCGCGACGGCGGGGTGGACTCGACGGCCGACGGAGTGACGGAAGTAGAGATGAGAGCTATGGAGATAGAAGGAGGATCTGGCTCCAGAGGGATGAGCTCGACGTCGGAACAGGGTGGATCATAGTGTAAGAGATCCGTCACGTTCACCATAAAGAAGGTGACGTCGTCTTGTAGGATGAAGTGAGCAAACTGCCGAGGCGAGGTGACAGTGATAGAAGGAGATGGTTTGGGCACGAAAGGCTCCGGCGGAGGAGGATCGGAGCGTGGTGTCGCAGTGGTACCTATGAAAGGTACCCGATACGTCTGTCCACGCTTCATTTTGAGAAGGAGAGTGTTGGTCGCCCATTCGGCCTCGGTGCTGCGGAACCGACGAGACCACGGAGTGCCAAGAATGAAGTCGTATCCCGTCTCCATCACATCGAAATGTACAGAGGATCGGTGGCGACGAGACGCCTGGGACGATCAGTCGGCTCAAGAGTGAGGAAGAAAGGGAGGTCGGTGACCGTCTGATCGAAGAAGCGCTGGGTCTTGCCATCCCCTAGGGGGACAGAGATGGGAGTCGGAGACCCTGTCGTGGGTAAGCGGGCTTCTTTCACCACACGTGGGTGAATGAAGTCGCCCTGAGAGTCGGAATCCACCCTCGTGGAGGTCCCCAGTCGTATGGGGATGATCGGGAGGGTGCGATCAGGTTCAGAGAGGATGGTGAGAAGGCGACACAGTGCAGCGACATGGAGGGTGAGTCGCTCCTGACGAGCCTGGAGCATGCTCAAGTCCAGAAGAGAGGACACGACGTCCTCGCGAGTAGCGAGCTGCTCGCTGCAAGGGGTTGAGCGAATGGCTCGACGCGTCGGTAGTCGCGGAGGGGGAGAAGGGGGAACGGTGGTGTGCGGAGGTGCAGACGATACTGCGACAGAGGGCTGAGTACGCTCTGTCGGGTTCTGCGATACCTCAACTCCAGTAGCGAGAGAGGCAAACCGTGACGGGGATGTCAGGAAGCCGACTATTGAGGAGGGCGCAGGTGTACACTGCACCGTGGCTAGGAGGCGCCGCGGGGATGCGAGGCGCCGGGGTGGGACTGAGCGCGACGCTGGCGGGAAAGGTCAGCGTAGTGGCGGTCAAGGGCGGCAGTGTAAGGGCACCGCGAGGAGGTATGACCGTCTTGGCGGCAGCGGAAACACCCAAGCCGGCCCAAAATGGCCGCTCGCTCCTCAGCGGAAAGAACACCGCGAGGAGGGACAAAGCCCTGAGGGAGGTCCTGCTAAGGGACCTCGGGGGGCGACGCGCCAACGTGACTTGGGTGGCTGCGTGCCCAGGAGAGGGCGGAGAGGATGAGCTGGAGGCGCTCGGCCATAGGGAGAGTAGAGTCTTCCAGGTGGTAGTGGACGCCCTCGCCGAGGTCGAGGTCGTCGCTATGGTCACCCTTGGGCGACAGCGGGGCAACAACATCCTGCTCACCATACTCGAGCGCGCTGAAGCGGCGCGAGAAGTGGCGGCCCTGCTGCGCAGAACAGTGGGGGCGACCATGGAAAGGGGAACGGCGCTGGGAAGTGTCGTGAGAGGAGGAGGGGGCGTAACCAGTACGCTGAGGCTGGGAGGAGGAGGCGGGGTGAAGACGGGCCCGCATCCGCTGATGGTCCCTGGCGGCCTCGTAAGCTTGCGGGGCCGATGTGAACTCGTACCGCCATAACTCGGAGCGGTACTCGAGCGGAAGGTTGGCCAAGAAACGATCGATAGGGGCAGCCTCGGGGAGGAACGTTACGTCACAAATGAGGCCGACGTCCTGAACGACCTGGATGTGGCGATCCAGGCCGGCAACGCCACCAGAGCCGGACCAGCGTGCAATGACGACACGCTCGAAGGCCTCGAGGAACGCCTGGAAGTCACGTCATGTCGGGCTCCGAAGCGATCCTCGAGGAACGCCTGGAAATCCATGAAGGTCGGAGTCCGACCCGCATGAAGGGAGTAAGCATAGAAATCCTCCCAGGCGTCAAAAGGACCGCCACGCAGGCGCGTGGCGAGGTGACCCACCCACGTGTCAGGTGGGGCGCCCATGAGCTGGAGGGTGCGGGTGGCAGACTGTAGCCACTGAGACATGCTGTCGGCGCGGATACCCTGACAAGAGTATCTGCCCTTGCTTTCGCAAGTGACCGGAAGTACGAGTAGAGGTCTAAAGTGTACTGCGCGAGACTCGCCTAGGTCTGTTTGGTTACATAGGTAAGTTGCCTGATGAGAGTAGGGCGAGAGTGGGCGCGCGGGATTGAGGCGCGCGTGTGATTTTTCTACTTTTGATTACGTAACCGACATAGTTGGCCGGCCCGGCTTTGGTTACTAGGAGTGAGAGGTGGCTTTGGTTGGGATAGGTGACCGGGTGCGAGGTGGCCACGGCCTAGTGGGGGCTGGCCGGCAGAGACGCCGGGTGGCAGCAGGCCGAGTATAGGCAGAAATGGGGCTGAGGCATTTGTAGGCATCAGCGCTGCACCTATTCATATAGAATTTTGCGTAGGACGATACCAGGCTGGGGCTTAGCCCCATAGGTTATGGTACCGGACTTACATAGCAGAGATACGGGGATCGAGGCTGGTTGGCGACGGCGCAGGGGCAGCGGCGCTGGGGGACGACACGAAGGTAGTCGGGGGGTTGAGGGCCGTTGGGGCTATCCCCCCTGGCTTTTGCGGGTGAGTGCGCCGGCGATTCTTGACCCGTGGGGGCCCCTTCCTTCACTGAAAAGTCGGTCGTTGTGCTTTTGTGCTTTTCTTCTTTCTTTTGCTTTTCTTTTTTTGTCTTGCCCTGGTCCTCTTGTATGACCGGGTCCGTCGGGACATCTGTTAGGAAATCGGCACGATACAGAGAGGATTGACCTGGCCCTACAGGAGGCTGGTGGCCGACACCTGACGGGACCATCTGTCGGGGTTGATGGAGACCGCTGGGGCTGAGAGAGAGGGCCATCCAACGGGCAGTAGAACTATAAGTCGAGTGGCAGCCCGCAGCCGATCAGTTATTCTGGCGCAAGCTATGCGACAGCCCTGCGCTAGTGCCCGGTGCAAGGTAGTGTGCAGAAGGCCCGGGCGACACCACGGGCGGTGGCAGGGCAAGGCGGAGAGAACCACGAGTGATGGGGATGACTTCAGAGTGACGGGCGCCGAGGTGGTAGCAGTAAGGCACGCACTGAGAAGACTGGGCGTGAAGGGAGATGGTCAGTGGGCGTCAGTACCGTGCATAAGATTGTCGGGAAGGAAGAAGGACAGGGGTGGATGAACCTGATGCGGATTCGCGACCAGATGCATACGGAGTAAGCCTATGAGCAAAGGGGTGGGGAGAAGCCATATCCCGCTCGCTTCTTGATCAAAACGAGCAGGGAAAGGGGGCAGACGGGGGGTTTTGCCCTGGGTGAGGCTGACTGTGATGTCAGATTGAGTAAAGGGTTAGTAGACCAAACTGCACTTGGAGAACGGGCTGCGCGGGGCTATGGCGGGGTGTCGGAGCTAGGGAAGAGAAAAACGAGTTTCCCCTCGATTCTCACTGAAATCGAGCGGGGTAAAGTGCGGGACGGTGGTCTTTGGTATCTATGAATCAGATTGTGAAGTCAGTTCTAGCAATAGGTGTGTAGAGGAGTAGAGCAGGTATAGAAGAGGTGTGCGTGGGGAGCCGGGAGCTATGGAGAAGTAGGGAAGGGACTGTCGACGAGCATGTGTCTGGACCGAGTTCGACGGACAACGATACTATACTAAGGTGGTGAGATGCTGCGGACGGGATGGCGCATTTAGAATTTTGATTCGAGCAGCGGGTTTTGGCGGTATGAGCTGCAGAGGCTGCGTGGAGGAGAATAAGTTATAAGGAAGGGGGATGCATCTACCCGTGTTTCGGGGGATGATCCATTCCGTGTTGTTCGTCCTATCTACGGGACTAGCATGGGGCAGTTGCGGGATTGAGTACTGACATGTTGACCGGTGGGGTTGCCCATTCCATCGAATGAAGTAGCTGGGGCAAGCCGCGCAGAGAGAGGGGTGGCTTACCTCGTAGCGGGGTCGAAGTAACAGTAGCAAATACCCCCATGTTGGACGACAGGCTCATCTGGTTACGCCATGCTGTGGGGGTGGAGCCCGGAGCACTGGCTCGACGGGGAGGAGCTCATAGTGCACTATGCCCATGCCCTGGTGAACTATTCAATCAGTATTTACTAAATCCCACTGACCGAGGTAGTACGGGGTAAGCAGCGAGCTAGGAGAGCGTGCCGGGAGTGTTGTGAAGGGAGAGGAGCAAGGTGTGCACTTACCGGGCTACAGTTCAGCAGGGGACCCAGGTGCAGTGTCCTACTGGCAGCCGTGTTGTTGACCACTGTTACTACAGCCTGCACTCAGGGTTGGGCCTTGTGTAAGTGATAACCATCTGGCATCGTAGTCACTATAGCGAGCTGTCGTCACCTTGAGCCTGAGGACGATGCGGCAGCCACCACCATGACCATTGTTCATAGTCGAAGGCCGCACGAAAAGAAGAGGCAGATTGAAGGTTGGGGTGTGAGGCCGACCAAGCGGGGTGGGAGGCCTGATTGGTAGTCAGAGGTAGCGAGGAATGGGCCATGGGAGTCAGAGGCTCACCGGCCGGCTGACATGTTACACAGTCGTTGAAGGGGGAGGCTACAGATGGACTGCGGGCTGGAGGATGTCTATGGGCAGGCATGCTGCCATCCTAGTCAGCAGGGGAGTAACAGGTTGAACAACTGACCACGGTACCCTCCCCCCCAATATATCGACCAAAGCAGGGGAGGCACGACTGTGAGGGTGAAGGCCTTAGTGGTGGCCGGCGTGTCGTCTAGCGTAGGTGGCCGAGCCGGCAACAGGAGGAGGCCGCACGACACGAGGACCTGTCTGTTGGTCGGAGCACTGTTCATTCGAGTCACACTGTAGCAGTGAGCCGCGGGTTAAAGGCTCAGTAGGTAACTGCGGGTGACTGTGTACGACCACTGGGTATGGCCTGAGGCTGGCTGCCGCAAACAATTATTGCATTAGTGACTGTCGACCGTACTACGGGTTGCTGTTGGATGCCGACGGACTGTGGCCTCGCTGCTGGCCACCGCTGTTTTGCGGCTGCTATTGGCTAAGCCCAAAGTACCGCTGTACGCTGCGGCGTACTGCTGTACACTACTGCAGGTAGACTGCTGGGTATTACGGTGGCAGGCTGCGGCTGACCGGTGGGGCAGGCTGGTATTACATGATGTGACGAGCGGCTGCTGTTCTTATGGGTTGTACACGGGCTACCGATACGGGCTGCTGTTGGTTGTTACCTTGCTGTTGGTCGCCGCTATGTGCCACTGCTACGAGTGAGGGCTATGGGCGGCCTACTGCTATAGCTGGTTACAACTACTGCTGACTGCAGCATCCAGGCACGGACGGTTGCCACTGGCAACAACTGTTGTCGTCGCTGCAGGTGGCTGCCTTGTTG